CTGATTTATAGAGGGAGGCGGTGTTCCCAGAAGGTAGCGAGATCATTGATATACCTCGCACTCTTCGCTGTTCGTGTTGCAGTCCCTCTAGTCCGTTTGCGTATACGGTGCGTTTTCTCCCTCCTAGACGGTGCTGATGTCCCGTGAACTAGGAACGCACCTTCCGGAGGAGCTCGTGAATGCTATCGTCGTACGTCTTGACGATGGCGATTTCCCGTGGACAAAATCCCCCAAGTGCGGCCTCACCTCTTGTAGCCTGACCTGCCGCCACTGGGCGAAGGTCATCAGGCCCATACTCTTCAGACATCTCACTCTGAGAAGCGCAGAGGATGTATACCAGCTGCTCGCATTCCTCAGAGCTCCCGACGTCCTTGGCTGTTCCCCTAGGCTCGGAAAGATACCAACTTGGTGGATCTCGGTCGCCTTGACGTCCTGAGCCACCCCTCACACGCTACATCCGCACTCTGCATCTTGTCGAAGATCACGGACCCGCTACTATTTCATGGGGCCATCAGCTGTTTCTAAGGTTATATCGACAACTCGCTCCCGAGATGAGCATTTGGACCATCAAGAGCCAGATCTGTTCTGATGGGAGGACTTCGCCGTATCCATTAGCTCTACTCCCGAGAGCGGTACCGACAGCGACGATGATGATGATACACTACGTCGTTCTATCCGATTTCCAAGCTCTATCCATTCAGAGCCTAGTCAGCTTCGTTAAGTGCGTACAGGTCTATGAGCTCAAACTGGAAAACGTCACATTCCTGGAGGAAAACATTGGACATGTCATGCACCCACGACGCGTCTCAGATTATCATTTCACGCTGCATCAAGAACTCAGCCGACCTTCCGTTCTGGATTGCACTGTCCAACGTGTTCTTCGTTAGTCAGCATTGCCCGGTGTTTGACAGCGACATTGAGGCGTTGATAGTGGCGCACCTCCAACTCGTTGTATCACTTCACCAGGCCGAGGGCAACATCCAAAGGTTGGCTGCTGTCTATAAGCAGGATATGACTACCGGAGGTATGCGTTTTAATGACTTTCTCGAGTATTCTGAAGTTCATATGAGTGCTGGCGCAACGCTAGATCGCTCCTATGGATTTATCCCCTACGGAATTGAGCCCCATCGATTGGCCGAAATATGTATTCAGACAAAAGCCGGGAACAATTATGTCTCTGAGAAAGCTCGTGACGTCACCTTTATGGGTCCAGATGTGGGCATCCTCGAACGACTAGAAGCCGTGGTAATTGACCTAAACGGCACCAACATTCCTGCAGTGTGGGTCTGGTGCAAGACCAAGGACGTCGAGAGGGACATGCTCTACGGCATACTGGAAGGACGCATCTTGGCGCATCTTCACGTGCAGCCTAGAGAGCTCCTCATATATTGTCCCGATGCAGGCGATCACGTCGCGGTTGAGGAGATTCTGTCCGCGCCGACGTCCATCGGCCAAAATGACGAGGCCATTACGCTCAGCCCTGCTCAACGCGCTACATGGGTGCTGCGCCTGGACGATAATCTGAGGGTGACCTACTTACAGGAGTTGCTACGCGCCGCCAGGACGTCCAGAGCGACGACGGACACAAGCTCCGAGACCGAGTCATGTGCCGCGAAGAAATCAGAGGACAGCGCGGGAGGACATATAGAGGAGATGTAGAGGTTGGTATGCAGGGATCGCGAGTAGGAGGCGCAATACCTGTCGAGGCAGGAGAGCTGGAATGCGCCCACCGGGGAGGGACGGACGGAAAGACGCCTGGGCCGAGTCGGACTGGGCCATTGGAGAAAGAGCGAGCGATCAAAGGACGAGAACCGCAAAGCTGTTGGTGGAAGCGAACGGACTAGGGTTATCATTGAATGGTCAGCGTACACAGTTCACTTTCCTCTGGACACGTTGTCTCTCGGGTTTACATTTCTACAGTGTTGTTCATGTGTCGACTTTCAGTAAATTCTAGGACATACCTCTCCTCCTTGATTTCCTTAGGTTAAAGAGTTTCTCTGTGCGCTGATAACATTGCTGTGATTCTGAGTAGCACTACGAGCTGACCGACTGGTGTGATTATGTATTTGTTATGTCGATCTTCAGATGTATCGAAGTGTCGTCAAGGTCCTTGTAGTACATCATGATTCTTTTGGTAATGCGACGCCAGACTATCGTTTGTCACCAGACCAGGACTGTCATTTCCCTCGGCAAAACACCTGGATAATAACGTAACGTTGTTGATTATGCGACAGGAGACTGTATTCGTCAGCTTCCACGCACAGTGCAAGAGATGGACTACATACCTGTGCGTACCCCACCCACGGACGTACTTACTTTCGCGAATCTGTGCCGTCACACCATCGAACCCTCTGCTATCCGGGATAAAAAGTAAAGACAGCTCGAAGCCTTATGAGCATTCAATATTCAATATTCAATGAGCGAGAAGGGTCGCTTACGACAGGTGTCGCAAGGCATTGCTGGAAGACATCAACGCAGAAAAAGCGTCGTGCAAAGCTAGGCACATCTCAATCAGTAGCAGTAACGATTAGATAAGATAAAACAAGAACAGCCGCGAAGCGCCAACCGCACCGCGGCTTTGCACTTTTGTTTCCCGCCACGTCGACATCGCTCAGCAGCGCCTTGGCAACAGCCATCACCGTTATGAGCAACTTGCCTCATTGAAATAATCCAGTGCTGCTCGAGATATTCTTGTAGTTCGTCGCGGGGTGCAACCTCGGTGACTGCGGGTCCGTCGATAGCGACAGTGCCTCAGTACTCCCCAGTATACCCGAGTTGAGGTACGCGATCCATATCTTGTATTGTGCATATATACCGACGTACACGTTTACTTCGTGCGTGCTTCACGTGTAGAGTGGTTTGTTCTCAACTCGATGGTGTTGCGCTTTCGCGCATCCTGGGCGACGCGCTCTGGGGTATATAGGAATGTGCTTGTCAGATTTATCGGAGCAACGCCCTCCTCGCTTCATTCTGCAGTTTTCGAGCTCTCCAATTGTCGTCAGGTTCTGACGCCTCGGTTCGTTCAGGAATACGCGTCCATCCATGTCCACACTGACCGCTGTCTCTAGTCATACGCACATCATGCCGCTTCGTGCTGCTTACAAGCTGATCTCCGGCCCAACCAGCAAGGCTCATACTGCTGTACGCGTTGCTCCCGCCTTTAGCGCAGCGACGTCCTTCGCCGGCAAGCTTGCACAAACCGTCACTGCGTCTGAGCCGAATATCAACTTGAAGGACTTATGCGCTACGCTCGACGCGAGCGCCGAACTTCTCGGCCAGATACAAATGGCCCGGGAAGCCCAGCCCGATATATGCTCAGCAGGGCAATTAGACCAGGCTGCCCGGCGCCTTGCTCAGTGCGCCGCTCTCTGAGACACGTATCCGGTCGTCGTGCTGATTCAAGACTTGAACAGATGCAAGCAGCTCTTGACCGCCCTTTCTATGGACACCCAGCATGACCCGTCAAGCTCCTCAATGTTGCTGCAGCGCGTAGTGGACCTGGGCACTGCCAGAATTGCCGTTGATGCGGGCAAGATCTGGCAGATGGCCATCGAGGTGCAAACGACTCTATTGGTGAGCATCTAGTTCTGGAGATGGCTGCACGTCTGACGTCGCATTTCTAGACTATTCAGAACGCGATATGGGAGAATGAGCAGCGTGAAGTGCCTCCTAACCCGGCGTGGTGCATATAAACAATCGGCTGATGGAGTTTTATCACATATTCCCGTGGATCTTTTAGTGTCTGCCATGTATTTCTACAAAAATTAAGATATTCGCCTCCAAAGCATGCCACCTCAGACTTCGAGCTTCATACTTAAGCGTATATCGCTAGCTTTACCTATTTCCTGGTGAGTGTCTGGCAAGGAACGGAGTGCTTACACCAACAACGCTCGCTCTGCCAGGCTTGTGTATGCGCTCGTTGGCGAGCAACCAGCAGCTCAGCTCGAGGACCATGCGTTGGGATCCTGGAGAACGTGCCAGGGACACGGCGAGATTTCGCACGGAACTTGGAAGTGACGAGCGCCCAAACAGTGAATACAGGTGATGCACAAAAACCTTGGTAGTAACTGTCTACCAGTAGTATAGTCTGGTGCCATGTATTTGAACCAAGCCCGTCACGGTCCAACCCTGACGCGTGTAGGTACAAGGTTTAGCACCGTGCGTACATGAGGCTATGCATAGTACAGTCTTGGTCTCCGAGTCTTTGTCTTGTCCAACCTCTATTGCACTCGACGATATCTTGTTCTATAAGCAAGAATCTACTATACGGTATTTTCACGCCTATACTCATGATGTGCTCACGATTTTGACCAAGAAATGGATGACTAGGTAGTTATCTCAACGTTCAACGAGTATGTCCTCGACGCTTGCATCGTCTCATTTTCCTTCGGCTGCCCAACGCCATCTCAGCACTCGCATAGCCAGCGAAGTCCAACTCCATGAAGACTGGACCTTCAACTGCTAAAGATGCTCTCCTGTCTGAAACACCCAGAAGAACCGAATGGAAGTTCCACTGTCTGGTGGTGACGGTAGGCTTGGGTCCACATCTGCGGCCAGTCCCGATACACGCAATTCATCTAGGTTCTACCGCTGGCTGTTCTGCGAGATTTCTTGACGACCTACGCTCGTTCTCTATCTTGTCCCGAGCGTTGCAACGGCGTTGGCCCAGGCCGGGTAGCACATCCTTTATCGGTATTCCACCTCAGGGTCCGCTCACCATGCGAGCGACACAGTATGTCGCAACCGTGCGCCTCATGGAGAGTCGATTCCAACGACCTCCTTTCCGCCCTGTGCTCTCGCAGCTCGTACTGCGGGCTATTGTGCACACCATACAAGAGTATCTGTTGGCTCTTCTCAAACCTACCTCAATCGTCCTATGGCATTCACTCACATCCCTTCGGCTCGGCTCTGACACTACTGGTCAGATTGTCATTCCGTGCGTACACTGTCTCCGACGGGTATTAAGTGCCTTGCGTACACTCCAAGTACTGCGACTCAACCGGTTCGCTTGGCCAGCATCATCAGACAACCTGCCAATAGCCGATTTTTTACCTTCGCCTTCCTTCTCTCAACCCAAGGATCTCAGCATCTGGGCGGAGCGGGACTGGCTCTTGGACCGCCGCTCTGCATACCTTGTGACTTGGATCGCTCGATCTGGGATGGCGAACACTTTGCAGGCGATTCATTTCGAATGGATGACGATCCTGAACGAGCCGTTGCTGATGGCCGTCGCCTCTGTCATTGAAGCCTCTAGCGGCACACTTCGCGGGATATTGGTGAGAGCCGGTCCAGACATTTCGCTGAGCCCGCGTAAGCAACGTCCCACTCAGTCGTTACTGTCCCCTTGGCTGAGTCATGCGTGTTTAGTGCTTTCCGCCTTCTCCAGGTGTTCGTCGCTCGAACAGCTCTACGTACATTTACCATATCACCGTCCCACGTTTCGTCTCTGCATTAATTTTGTGCAACAACTGCGACTCAAGCGACTGAGGCGTCTCAACATCCGGCTGGACTCGTATCCAGTATGTGCAAGACCAGACCAGTCAGACTGGACTGAGCTAGACCAGGCATTACAAGTGCTCGAATGCCAAAGACTCGACTGCATCTCTGTGCTCAAGCTTTCTACTCATGTCGATTCGGAGAAGATGCTATGGGGCAACATCTATCTAAACGGACCTTACGATCCCGTTGCATGGCGAACGGAACTTGCGCATCTTCTCCCCGTGACGCACAGCAAGCGACAGCTTCACTACTGTGATTACGTCTATGGCCCGCCTGTGTTGGTCCCTAATCGCGTCCACTTAACGCTGCCAGTAGAAGTTTGCGAGCGAACAATTGACTTCGTGGCAGGGACGAGGAACGAATCG